CTGGCTGTGAATGCTACTGCCCAAAGGGCATGTAGTCTGGACAGAATATAAAGGACAGACAGAGGGCTGCTGCTACCTGTGCTTGTGGCTTGCTGATTCTTTGATACTGTGTTGCTTTGCTTCACTCTACCTTGGAGCCAGCCAACAACGAACTGAAACCACTACAAACTGTGAGTCTTTCCTTCACTCCTTTAACTTTAGTTATTGAGTATTTTGTTTCAGCAGCAAGAAAAATAACTTAGACATTTAATGGTACTTTTTCTGTTAGTATTAGACACTGCACCTATGACCACTGCACTGAGCTATACTCTTTCCTTTTTTATTATCTGATTGAGCTCCGGTCTCAGTAAACCACTAAATTGCTCAGATTGTGTTCACAGTTGCAATTCTCTGGTTCGGTCTCCTAGATTGCTGTGATTAACGCTATGAGTCACCACATGGAGCTAAAAAAGCAACTTTATAAAACACCCTTACAGTTTTGCTTTTTATTACTGTTGTTGTTTTGGTTGCTTATTTTTAATCAGAAATTTGATTCTAGCCTCACTAAGCTAGCATTAGTGTGTCAAGTGTTGGGCTCCCTCCTGAAGGTCGAGGAGAAAAGCTGGTCCCTGCCATTTTCAACTTGTATAGCTGGCAACATTCTTAGGCTTGTTTCCTCTGTCCATCTTTAAAGCCAGCAAAAGCAGGCTCAGTTCTTCTCACATTTCTCACTACCACTTCAATTTTTTTTTTTTTTTTGGTCTTATTTCTACTCTTAAGAAAATCTGTGATTCATGGGTCTATCTCACTAATATAGAATCATCCCCTAAAATTCTGTTTAGTTAATCAGCAACATTCATTTTCTTTTAACATAAAGCATACCATTATCAAACCTTCTAGGGGTTGTAGGGTCATCTTTAAGGAAGTTTGGATAGCTTATTTTAAATATGGTCATGAAATTCTTTTGTTACATTTACGCCTAAACACAGCATTTAATTCCAAATATTACTAAATTTATTATTCCAATAATATTTTAGTGAAATTACAATTGTCTCTATACAAGGGCTACCTTACTTGAAAAATATATTATTTACTCTCAAATTGTAAGTATGGGTGTCATTTTTTATTGTTGTAACCTAATGTCCTGGGCTAGAACCTTCAGTACAATATTAAGGAGTAGTGACAAGAGAATTAAGCCATGTCTCCTTGATTTTTAAGTAGGATTTTGTACGTGAGACTTTTTATAAATAGCCATTATTCCTAGTTTATCTTTATCTTCAATAACGCTAGTCAGTATACATTGCTCCACTGTTTGATCAAATTAAAGGAAGGCCTGTTCAAGAGGAGTGTCATGCTGAGATTTTAGGATACTCAGACTTCAGGAAAGACCTTTATAGCTTTTTACCTGGTTCTGTCTATTTATCTATAATTACTCTACCAGTTCCTTCCTTGCTATCACAACTTGTGGCCACAACCTCCTCCCAGCTGCTCACTGCCAAGGTATCCATTATTTTGGGTATACTGTACATGTGACCTTCCCTACAGTTTCAGATAAAGTCAGATTTTATAGAGAGAATTGCTCATCAGCCTCCTATTACACTGTAACATTTTACTGTGAACTAGGTGACTCAATACAAATTTGTTCTACTGGAGTCTTGGAGAAAAAGGGGGTAATCATGGGATTGCAGGGCTGAATGGCTCTTGGAGACTCCTGTGAGAATTCTCCTTGTTTTTCAAAGTTTAGAGGTTAGTGACATTTCTTGGGGGCCCTTCCCAGACTACTCCAGTTTATTCTTCCATAGTCACTTCCATCTGTCCTTCTGATCTTCATGTGTTAATGCATCTTAGAAGATCCCTTTTGATGACAACAGACACACTCAAATAACCCCGAATGGCATTCCTGGCACACTTAACTTGATTAAATCTGCAGTTTCCTTTGCTATGTAAAGCAGCATGCTTACAGGGGGTTTTGTTTGTTTGTTTGTTTTTGGAGTAAAATTATTTAGTCTTACCTCTGGGGCTTTCTATCCTGAAAGCATGCCTTTCCTCACATGCAGAACCTGTCTTGTTAAATCACATATGGCCCACTTCCAGGGAAGAAGAAGCCACCCATAAGAGGGGTAGTAGATCCTCGAAAACTGTTAGCCTCTTCTGCTATGGAAGCTGTGCTCTACAAGCAAACTTGGCCAGGGAGGTGTGTTGCATTGTTTCATCTAAAGTAGATTCTCCAGCCTATGAGTAAGGCATCAATTTCTCAACTGTGTTCCAGAATAGTGGAAGGTATTTCTCCTTTCTAATCTCACTCCTGTATGCATTAACCAATATCTCTCCACACAATGCCCAAATTCTTCCCAGGCTTGGTTAAACAGTATTTTTTTTATTTCACTTTTTTTAAGACGAACATTTTAGTTTCCACATAGAATCGAGAACAACTGTATTTCTTTTCCATTCAATATTTTTTTCACCTAACATGATATCTCCCAGCTTAGTCTACATGGCCACAATGTTAGGATTCCATTGTCTACATAATAATATGGCATTTTTATATATACCATATTTTCTTTATCCCTTCATCAATAAAGACCTATGTTGTTTCCATGTCTTACTTATTGAAAATAGTGCTTTACTGAACATATAAGCAGAGCAAAGATACTTCTTTGATATACTGCTTTATTTTCCTGTGGATATGTAGTCAGTAATGGGATTTTGCATCATACGATCATTCTAGTTCTTTTGATCAGGAGCCTATGTACTGCTTTCCATATAAAATGCACAAATTTAAATACTCACCAATAAGGGCAAAGGATGTTTCTGTACCCTTGCTAGCATTTTATTTAACATGTTGATGGTAGTCATCCTAGCAATTATGTATGAAATAGAATCTCATTGTAAATTTGATTTACATTTTGCTAATTACTGAAGTTTAGCATTTTAAAATAAATACATAGATCCTTTCTATATTTTCTTTTGAAAAATATCCAGGTCATTTGACCATTTTATAATTGGATATTTTTATTAGTAGTAATATTTTACTATCAAATAGAATGCCTTATATATTATGGATGTGGGAAGCCCTGTAATTGGCTGCCACCTTGACAGCTGCAGGCTGCACCACCTTAATTCCCTCTAGGAGTTAAGTTTGGTAATTAAGCAGGCATCTTACATAACTCCTTTAGCCTGTCCCATTATTCAGGGATTATGCTTATTGAGCCCACCCATGGGAAATTTGAACTGACCTATGAACCTCCATCTTGCCACTATTGCTAAGTTACCCGCTGATGTCTCAGCACCCAAAACCCTCCTCCTCAGTACCCTATGTATTTGATACTCATTCTTTGAATAAAGAGAGACTTAATTGGAATTCCTCAACTTGTCTCCACTCTTTGCGTCTCTTGTTTCCTTTTCATCCCCACTCCCCCTCTACAGTCTCCATGGACTTACCCGTGGGCCAGGTCATATGGATATATATATATATATATATATATATATATATATATATAATGAATTTAAATAATATTTCACTACTTCTTCATTCTGCCAATAGCAAGAAATACAAGAGAAATTCCATGCTGGAAAATTAAGAAGTAGGGATGAAGTAATAACTTTCATAAAAAAGAAGAGCTGAAATATATCAAAAGTAGACTATAAAGAGATCACTAAGAATGGAGATTAGTGCATGGGGCAGAGTGACTTGCTGAATTTCTGTTTTGGCCACTGTCTAAATGTTCCACCAAAGCCTCATGCAGTCCTAGGTGGAGCTTCGCAGTGGTAGCTGGATCTAGAGTGTGTGATGATGAGACTGATTCATGATGTGATGCTAGGATTAAGACTATCCCTACCTGTGTGTGAATGTTGCCTACTTTAAGGGTGACATAAGATATGAGAGACAAAAATAAGGTCACTGTGGTCATTTGCTGCTTCTTTGCTGTTTCCCAGCTTGCTGCTTTCTGCCCATAATTAACTGAATTATTTCTCCCTTACTTGATCGAGAAACCAGAACACAATCCGGCAGCAAAGTTTGGAAGACAAGGAGAGAAAACTTGTAAAAAAGAAAAAGAAAAGAACAAATCAGCAAGCCAAACTCATCTAGGAATCTCCGAGTTGCCTATCTCAAATATGTGGAAAAACAATCCTCAAAGGAAATGAGAAACACAAATAGCTAAACCTGCTCTAAACCATCCCAAAGGTGCTAGCCATCTCATAGCTTTGATCCTTCTACCCCTAGAAAACAAAATCCAGTCAACACCTCAGCCTGTGATACTCTCACTTTCTGAACACATTTATACAGGTGGGAAGTAGAATCATGGTGAGAACACTCATCTTCCCATGAACCCATGTAAATGCATACAGAGATCAAGAGCAAGAGCAGGAAAGTTAAGAAAGACTCAAGCACGGGTGCTTTAACGGAGAAGAAAGTCTCAAAGAGGTAGACTTTCTGGTAAGGCTAAAAAGCCATAAGTAAAAGCTGACCAGAAAGAGTTTCTTACACAGTCCCTTTGTTATCGGGTGGCTTGTATCCCTCAATCCAGAAGCCCAGTAGCTTTTGTACCTTTCACTTGCATGACATAACACGCAGGTGTACAATAAATGCGTTGTTAGGTATCACTTATTAGGGTTGTGTGTATGTAAAATAGGATCTCCTTACTGCTGGCTGGCATTGAACTCACTATGTAGACCAGGCTGCACTTGAACTCACAGCAATTCTCCTTCCTCAGTGATATCTGGCAACAAATGTCTTGCTTAAACTAGTGGAAGGTAGTTTCTACCATTTATGACCACAATTGTACAATATATATTCTAAGCAAGTATGTGCCAGTTTATAGACTAGTGAACCCATATTTAGCAAACCAATGTGTTTAAAAATTTACAGTTGGATTAAAGGCCAAATAGTTAATAATAATCATGTCAAACTTTTGAGGAAATATTATCTTCAAGTTTCAGAGGAGGTAATTGAGCAGAAAAGTAGTTTAGTACCTTTTCTGACATTCTCAGAAAGATATATAGAAGAATGAGCTTCATACCAGGGTTTGATGACCGTGAAGAACAAACTGATTCTTGTGAGGAGTGACACAGTTTCTGTCTGCTTGTGACTTACTTTGTTTTTCTTCCCACAACTGCAGGGGCTGCTCTTCTAGAGTCCTTACCCATCACTCCACATGCTTCCTGGACTCAGCTCTCTATCTGGAAGATGTATGGGGTATTAAAAAAAGCAAAACAACACATTTGTTAGAAGAACAGTGTGATCAAGTGTCTCTTCAAATAACATACTCACAAGGGGTACAATGAAACATATTTCATGATATCTCATGAAATTGCCCTGAAAGCACAACTATAAGAAAATGTCATGTATCTAAAGTCACAAGATTGTGAATGCCTCTGGGATTATCTGGGGAAGCAGGACATCTGCTGACTGTGGGGTTTATTGTCCTGTCAGTATGAAAACCCTGACATCCCATATGGGTCTGAACCAACTTTTAGGGTGACTGTGACTGACTGACTAATTGTATCTAGAATTCATTTTCCTCATCAGAAAGCAAAACAAACCAAAACAAACAAACAAACAAAAATAGAAAAAAAAAACCAGTTTTTTGCAGACTTTGAAATTTATGAGGCTTTAGGTTTATACTCTGCTAAGATGGATGAATGATGGTACAGTTTACATTCTCTAATTCTTCTCCAGAAAGGAAATGCACCAAAAGGATCAAGGTAGACCTGAAAGATTCAGGAAAGGGCACATAGGGCTGCCTGTGTGAGGCATGTGAGGACTGATAGAGTTTCTTTCTGTTTGTGACTCACATTTGTTTCTTCCCACAGCTTTAGGGGCAGAGGAGGTATCCTGGGTCCTCGCAGTGATCAGTGTCCTTGTCCTTGCAAGGTTACCTGCAACTAGAAGGAAAGATAGAGAATGAGTTTCTCAGGCTGGTTCTAGACTATTAATGAATTTGGGGAGTGTTTTATGACCCCCTTGAAGTTATCATTGAGAGAATAAGAGAAGGATTTCCTGCTGTTGAAGAGAAAGCAATAAAGTCCGCAGCTGTTTTGTCTGCCGCCTGCCGTCAGCCCACAGCACCCAGCATGAACAGACTACGAACACGGAGTTATTTACCAGATCCCGGAAATTCTGTCCGTCTTGGAGGCTTGGGTTTAACTGTAATTGACTATATTAAGCCTACTGAGAATATACACTCCTAGTTTCAGAATAAGCCCAAGAATAACCACATTCAAGCATTACAATTCTTTCCATTATGAATACAACACCCTAGAGCAGGTTTCTAAAGGCCCTGACAACTTGAATTACTGTCTTTTCCTACTCAGCTGCTTGCAACTGAGCTTACAATGAAATGGCATTAAACAATGTCACACCTCTTTAACCACAGACACAGCTTCTGGGCCCTCATTCACACCCTTATAGCAACATAGGAAAGCAATGTGAGGCCTCGAGGCAAAAGGTGAGGGTCTTCACCATTGTGCTTCAGCCCCTGAGTCCTAGGACTGTGGTGAGTGCTTCAGCCCCTGAGTCCTAGGACTTTGGTGAGTGCTTCAGCCCCTGAGTCCTAGGACTTCGGTGAGTGCTTCAGCCCCGGAGTCCTAGGACTTTCGTGAAACCATTTCCAAGGGCGCCTGCACTCACTTTCTCTAGTAAAGCATAATGACAAGCTGGATTGGACAGGAGAATATGTATGAATCTTTCCAACATCCAACTCAATTCCATTCAGCAAACATTTACAGTTTATACCATGTTGGAGTCACTGTGTTACACACTCCCAGATGTGCAATTTATGCTTATTCCTTTGAAAACGAGTCAGAGAATTCTCATGCCACTTTTCTGCAAAATCACTAGACTGGAAATCACCGGCCCAAGGTTCTGCTTAAAAAAATTGTGCTATCTTTATAAAGTTACATCAGCTCCCTGGACTTCAGTATCTTCATCGATAAAAAGACTGAATGTTCTGGTGGGTGTCCATAGACAGTCTGAAGTGAATTCACTACTCTGGTCTTAAAGAAACAACTGAGTGCGTACTTAATGTAGTATACAGAGAAAATATATCTGGAATTTTAAAAAAATAAATATTAATTGAAGACAAACAAAAATTATATATATTTGCATTCCGGTACTAGAACTGCAACCTAAACTGTGTCCTATAAAAACTACATTATTTTACAATTTTCAGACACATTACTCTAGGTTGTGCAATCAACGAACATGTCAAATGGTTTCTTGTAAAAAAGTACTACAGTAAAAGACATTGTCATTAACTCCTCTCAAAATGCTATCACTTTGAGCACACATCCAATTTTTGTCACTTTTTGTTAATTTTCTTATACATTTTTGATATATACAATGATCATATTTATCACAGGAAATTTATACCTGTATGGAAACAAAGCTTTTATAAATATCACATTGTTTTTGCCACTTTTTGAATCAGTTCTTAAAGTCATCTTTCCGGAGTGACTTAGTTGTGTTGTGGTGACAATCATTGTGTTTTAAGTCCTGAATGAATTCAAAATACAGTATTTACCTTTACTGGTCACTTTGATACTGTGAGATCTCCAGATCTCCTAGAGTTTTGCTAAATCTAAAATTATAAAACAATACATTTCATGCAAAGTGGTTGTGACTTTTAGATGTATTCCAAATAAACCAAAAGTGCAGAGATAGTTAGTAGTGAAGAGGAGAACAATAAGAGTCAATGAAAAGCTTAAAGTAAGGGGAGAGAAAGCAGAACACCGTAGAGGGCTTTTCCAATCTGTAGCAAATGAGGTGGGTCTGCTGTGGACCCTTCTCAGTGACTTTGGCCACCGGGATTTAGTGTTATCTCCCAGCAAAGAGGAGCAAACCACCAGTGTCCCAGATGGCAATGCCTCTGTACAGAAACAAACACTTCTCACCTTGGTGTTATTCACCTCACACCTGCTGAGCTCCTTCTCACTTGGATTAAAATTGGAAATTCTGGAGCAATGTCACGCAGGGAGATTTAGGAGGACCAAGTATAAATCCTCACTATCCACACGGGCTCTGGTATTCCTTTCCTCCTTCCTCTCTGAACACAGCTTTCATCATGCTGTCACTCTGTTATGGTGTGAATCTGGAATGTCCCCCAATCATAGAGTCATACGCAGGGTGTTGGAAGGTGAATAGACCATGCGAGTGCTATAAATATCAGTGAATCATCCATGGGTCAGCTCACAGCTGACTTAGTGACATGCAGAGGGTCACTGGGTTAGGCTCATGATGGGTGTAGTCTTATCTCTGGCTCCTTTTCTGTCTCCCTGCCTTTTGGATGTCAAGAAGTGAGAAAATTTCTTCCATGAGACACTTCGATCATGAACAATCATAGACTGCAATGTCTTTTTTTTTTTTTTTTTTTTTTTTTTTTTTTTTTTTTTTTTTTTTTTTTGTCTTTTTCCTTTTTATCAGTACCAGGGATCGAACTCATGACTACCTGCTTTACAAGGCATTTATGCCGCTGAGCTAAATCCCCAGCCCCATAGATTGCAATCTGAAAACTGTGATGAGGGGCTTGGGATTTAGCTCAGCGGCATAAGCACCTGCCAAACGAGCAGGGGATCAGGCGATCGTGATTTCAATCCCCGGTACTGATTTAAAAAAAACCTGTGATTAAACCTGCCCGTTTTAAACTGTGAGTGCCAGGTGTCCAGTCCCAGGGACAGGAGTGTAGCTAGCACATCTTTACTCCCTGGCTTGCAGGTGCTTGGGTCTGCATGGATTCTTCACAGTCACTATAAACTTCATGGATTCTTCTAGGTCTTTGTCTGCCTCAGCCTTTTGTCTTTGAAATCCTTCTCAACATTTTGCTTATTTGTTAATTTGGTGTTTGTTTGTTTGTTTGTTTTTACAATTGACTTCTGGTCAAAATATCAATGTTTTTTCCTTCGGGACTGATTTTTCCCAATGAACCATTTGTAATAATGTGTTTCCATGGAATTTAGACACAGTTTTATATTTTATATGTGCATCTTTATTATCTCTCCATATTCACATTCAGTTAAATTGTATGAGTAAGCTTTTAAAAACCAAAGGCCTAGAGAAATGACTGGAACATGGGAGGTGTAGAATGAATAATGATTTCTTACACACACATGCAAGCAGACTGAACTACCACAGTCTAAAGACACAAAGTCAGATCAGTCAAAGACCAATTTACCTAAACTAAAACTTTCCCAAAACGGAATGGGGATATTCACGTAGCTAAGAGCCAGGATGTGATATTGCACTCATCTATGTAGTGCTTGGCTATCACATTCATAGATCACATTTCATCATTTGGAAAATATAGGGCCTTTGAAGGATTATTAATCAGCATCCTTGTTTAAAAATAGAAACAACCTGCTATTTTAAGAAGGAAAAATATTTATTCCATCAGAGTGTGAGGAGAGCATCTAAGAAAATCAGATATCCTGGGATTGATGCTAGATAGATGATGTAAAGCAAGCCTCTCTAGCTTGGCTTCCACACACTTCACAAGTCTTGTCTGGTAGAAGCCTTTCACCATGTCACCCACCCTGGCCTCTGAGTCAACACTGGACACCACACTAATGTCAGGTAGGAGATCAGACTGTGTGTTTCAGCCTCCAGGTTTCACCTAAGTGCATCAGCTATCTGAGAGTTTGGACTCAAAAGTTCCAGGTGCCTGAGTGCCTAGCTCACATGGTGTCACCTTTTCAACCTTTTCCATGTGGAAACATACATCAGAAACCCTTGAGCAGTGGTTAGCAATCCAGCCCACTCTATCTTCCACCCAGGCTTGCACTTCAGGAGCAGAAGTCTGACTAAAGATAAGTAAGGTGACCAGGGCAGGGGCCCTACGGAGGGAAATCTGCAGTGGGAAGAAGGTCAGACTAGCTTTATTCTAAGGAACCTGCCATCTCCCGAATGCTTTGGGGCCCAGCTTCCTGAAGAGAATCTGAATTAGGAGTATGTCTTTTCACATTGGATAACATGATACGTGAACCTGTGTTAAAACATGAAATGTCTCCAGGGCTCTATGAGGAAAAGGATCAGGAGGTGTCTCAACTCTTCCAAATGTGTCCTCAGCCTTTCCCTCTACACATCTTTTCCAGGCTGATACTCTGTCTTAAAACTTATTTCCAGAGCTAAGAATACTTTTAGGCCACATATTTGTTTGGGGAATGGGGCATTGACCTTTCAATGGCACTGTCAACTGCCACTTTAATATTTCCTGCTCGACAATAAGTGCCCCCCTAAGGATGTGGATACATTCATGTCTGGGATGTTTAAGTAGCCTCTGACCCAGCCACTCATATGCCTAAAGTTTCTATGTATGCTGTGTCTTCTTTGGAAGTGAAGTTTCATGAAGAAGTCAGAAGAAAAGAAAAAGAGCATTTTTCTCAGACCTCAAGTTCCAGGAGTGTTCCTTTACTGAATTTTTACCCCTTCACAAAAAAATAAATAAAGTATATGAAAGAGTTGCTGGCCCAGACCCGACACTTTAACCAGGAAAAGCCGCAGCCGCTGCTTCCCCCGCCCCTATAGATTTGCCTGTAACCCTATACCCCCATCCCTGTAACCCTGGCGCCAAAACGTGTGCCAATGAAATACCTGTGCATCTCTAATGGCCTTAGGGCACTGCCCTAAGCTTAGGCTATTTATATTCCCCCACGCCACGTGTCCGAGAGAGAGAGATCTCCAGATTCCAGCCGCCAGTGCGCCAGTCTCCTCTCCCCGTGTTCCCGGAATAACCACGGCCCCGGGTGCAGTGGAGATGCTGTGCCCCGGGGCCGGGGGGGGGGTGTCTCTCCCCACATTCCCGAAATAAAGGTTACTTAAATTTTATATTTCTTATCTTTGCAGCCACCGCCGCCCACTACTTTCACGGCCATCCACTCTACTCCTTCCACGGACCTCTTTCCCTTCCCTCCCCCTCTTCCTCTCCCCTCTTCTCAGACCTAACAGATGGTGCTGTGACTCGAACCTCTTCCTTGAACTCTTTCCCCTCTTCCCCTCTTCCTCTCCCTTCTTCTCAGACCTAACAGTATGTATGTATATATATATATATATATATATATATATATATATATATATATATAAAATTCTAGCTAGGGTATGTATAGCTCAGGGGTACGGTGCCTGCCTGATATGTGCCAGGTTGTGAGTTCAAGCCCTAGTGCACATGCACACACACACACACACAAACACACACACATACACAATAACCTCTACATTTATACTACTAGGATTTTATCCAAAAACTGAAAAAGGGACTCTGTGTCCATGGCTGTCTCCCTTCATGGGAATTTGTCAGTGAGGAAAAGAAAATGATGGAATACAAACTCTAAAATATCACACAAACCCCAAATTTAGATAATGTGTTAGGTTGTAACTATCATTTCCATGCTTGTAATATAATTATGGTTATGTAAAATATCATCATTGAGGGAATGGGGTCTAATACGACTAGGACCTGTCTGTGCTACATTGCAAGAGGTGAATTCTGTGATTGCACTGTTGATGGGGATCTAGTACAAGTGCTGTAGAAATTAGAAACTTTTCAAAAACACTAAAAATACAAACTCATTTGACTTTGGGTCTTTGCACTGTGATGTCACAGTGATGCATCTATCTATGTCAATAGCAGCCTAACTAATAATAGTTAAACCTTGGATGAAGGCCATTCACAGACGTAAAGATTTTTTTAAAATATGGAGAATATACATATATATATATAAATTTAAATTTTACAGAGGAGAGTGGTTGCCTCTTGTAACTGTAATGCTTAATGAAATAAGTCAGACACAGGAGCTTACATTTGCAAGATTTCCCTCATGGAGAAGTGCAAAGTATAGATTACTTAAAGATCAAATAAAAAAAAAAAAACTATAGCAAAGAGAGAAATCGACTTTGCAGAGATGGAAAGAGGGTTTGCGGATGGAGAATGGTGGAAAGGGGGGGGGTCAGGAAGGGAAAGTAAAATGAGTGAGGTGAGATTGCCCCTGGGATGTATACATGTGCTATGTAGCACAAACATAATAATAAGAAAAAGAAGAAATGCATTACTTTGATTCCATTCATCATACCACAGAAAGGCTGTAACTTGTTAAAATTTTAAGAATTTAACATCAGTCACAGGAGTGTCACAGTTATCCGCTTTCTCCAGAGATAGAAGGGCAGAACTCTAAGTGTGGTTCCCGCTGCTTTGAAGACAGACGTTTTCACTCCCTCCTGAGCGCATGTGCCAATACCAAAGAGTTGTTTCAACTCCAATTAAATTCAGTGTTCCTAAAAGAAACTAAAGAAAATAGAGTGAATAAAGTAGAGTATTCGTATCTGCTTCACATTTGCAGAAACATAGCTCAGCTAATTAGCCTGCTGAAAATCAAAGTCAGAATGTGGCTGTTTGGTTTCAGACTTCAATGTCTGCCTCCTTTTCACTCTTTCTGACCTGGATGCTCTTTCCTCTCCCTCCATAAGGATACTCAGATAATCTTGTCCCTGACCATCAGGGAAGGATCAAGGTCAACGCAAGCAGTTGCATGGTTTGCAGTGGGCTCACTGGGCCAGGGAGTCTTAGACCTATGATCATCTGCACTGAATGTCATGAACATTTTTCTCCACCAGAGCCCTTTCAGAAGTCTGTTTGTGAGCCATGCATTAGCCGCATCTTGCCAAGGACAAACCAGTGTATACCCTTTTGTTGTCAGTGTAAGTCTAGCAACCATCTCCATGATTCATAATTGTGCTGGAAACTCAACAACCTGATGGTTCCACAGAAGGCAGCCAAAGGGGATGTGTTTTGAGCAAGGGGAAAGAAATCTTTGCTATACTAAAAATTAAAGCAACCCAGCATCATTCTTTTTTTAAAATAAACCTCTCCTTGAGGATACCTTTCCAAATAAGAATATATTGCCTGATCTGGAAGTGAAGAATTACAATTACATGGGATGTAAATTCACATGTAACCTACAGCTCTATTACTTTCTGATATTTTGACTATTTAAATATAGGAGAGGAAGGATCGTGAATAGACGTCAATGGATCAAGAGGAGTGGAAGGGTCCATTACAAAGAAAGGAGGACAAGGTGAGTTATTCAGTGTTTACTGAAGGCCT